TTGGTAAAATTTCATGTGAATATCATATTCACCTGTGAATAGCATGGTGTTAGCCCTTCGAGGTAGTCCAGACAAGAAGCACAGCTATGAGTACTAACTCTGTCTTTATTGTAAGGCTACATTAACAGAATCTTACAGGACTGAAAGTATTTCTCCTCTTCTCTCCTTTTACTCTCCAGAAAACTAGGGAGGGTCCTTTCTGAAACTCTTCCCACACCGTCACACCCCCCCCCCCACACACACACACAACTTCTGTGGACAGAGATATCTTTTACATGATAGTAGTCTAGTCTGCAGCTCTTTCTCCTGTCTTCCAAGGTCATTCCCACATGACACATGGTAGGTCCAGTTTCATCCAACATATTCATATTGCTGAAGGAAGCAATAGGCTTGGCTCTTTTACCTACCTACCCTTTTCTCTTAGCCCATTACTTAGAACTAATAGTATTAAAAAGTTTCATTTAAGCATAACTAAAGATTATTTCAGAGATAAATTTTCTGAGAATATTTTTTAACTCCCCATTTTTATCCTAAATTCCCTACTGTTGGAGAATTCTAGTGACATGTCCTCTTCCAATTATATCATCAGCAAAGAGACTGGAAAAAACTGAAGTCCACATTTGCTCAATTCTAGGCAAAGACCTGAGGTCTCCTTGCCCATTTCACTGGGATTATTTGCCATTTTATTTGCCAGATTGCCTGTCTCCAGTTGTTTCTGCCTGCCCCACATGCTCCAACAGAGTGGATGTATTCCAGTCACTTCCTTAAAACTTAAAACATCTGATGGGATCTGAGAGTTGTACCTTTGCTATTATGATACCTATCCTGTGGAATGACCTCCCTCCTGAGATTCAACTAGCCCTGTCTTAGCTCTTAGGAAGGTTTGAAGATGTAGATATTGTCTTGGGCATTGAGGCCAAGATGTTAGACAAACTCAACCTGCAATGTATGTTTCTGTGCCTTGACTGTGTCTCGTTGCTGTGATTTCTGGTTGTTTTCAGGGATGTCTATTGTATTTTTGTTTTTAATCATACACTGCCCAGAATCACATTTTTGCAACTTAGGTGGCTATATAAATCCTTTAAAAAAAGTTAGCTTCTCCCATTCTTAAACTGCTTTCCCTAAATATTCCATACGGTCCTTGTATAACTTAATAACTTCATTATGTAAAAGTCCGCACCAGTATTTGCTAATTTTTGTATTCCCTCCCAGTTCTGTTTCCTTTTCTATATATTAATTATAAACTGGGATAAGCAATCTACAGTGCTCCCTTTTCTGTGGTACTGGAGTTTTAGGAAAATTTTAAGGGGTAAAATGGCAAAAAGTGAGCATATCGATGAATGCATATTGATATTCACAGTACTTGTTAAAAGGGTTAGATGAGTTTTAGAAATAAAAAACATGTGATCCTGACGATTATATAAGAGAAAAGTTACTACAGGAACTTTAGACTGAAATCTTAAATACACTCAGAAGGTCAAAAGCAGTGCAGGTTATACTTCCATAATGATGCACAGCCTTATGTTTTTTTTAAAAAAACTGACGTGAACACAAAGATGGGAAAAAGAGATTTACCAGAGTAATTTTAATCTATTGTGAGATTGGCTATAATGAAATAACAAGGGAAGTCAGGATACAGACTTTGGACCTGAAATAAGGATTTTGCACTTGGTATAGAAGGGAGTTCCTAACAAAATACTTTTACATTATGCTGTGAATTTGGAGTTCCCTTTCAAGAGAAATAACATCTTAAGGAAGCATCTTATTTGGTCTGGATGTACTGAGCACATAAACTATGTAAAAGCCCACTACCTGGCCCACCACCCAATATCACATCTTCACCTGTTCCATTGTTGTCTATTACATGATGAGTGCAAGGAGCATTCTATGTATATTCCATTGAACACACTTAGAATCTCCTCCTAATCTTTGCATTGAATGCCAAGAGGACAGAAGTAGAGGCAGCATAACGTGAATGTAGACTTTTGAGGGTGGGATCAGCCCAGGCACCTTCAACCCATACCTGCTTTGTACTCTGCACATTCAAACTGAATGTCTGAATAAGACTGTGGTGTTGCTTGCATTGCTTAGATCTTTCACATCTATATTTTTTTGCCCGGTTAGACTTCTATCAGCTCCCTTCCAATAATTGAGAAATCAGAAACATCTATTACCCCATTGCCTAATGCTTTGTCAATGAAAAGTCCCCAGAGATCAGTAATGCAAGTTTTGTAGCCATCCTTTTGCCGCTGCTTCAGAGTATCACAGTATTCTCTAAAGTGGTCTAATGTAAGGTACTTCAGCTTGCATTTGCTCATGTTTTTGCGAGCCTCTGCTATTGCTCCTAAAAGGTCCTGCTGTGACCAGCCAGGTTCTTCATACAGATTCGAGAGGGTCCTACAAAAAAGACACAGCTTGAAAACAAGAGTTACACCTTCCTAAATATTATTAAGGATTATTAATATAATTTACTCCCTGAGTATTATTAATGATATTTAAACAGTTAACCATCACACTAATAATAAAAAGTATTTAAAAAAAGAAGAAGATAGTTTGGAAGAGTTGTGATACAATTTTAGGATTTTTCTACCAAAATATTTTTAAACTCTTAGAAAAAATATTTAATACTAGTGAAAATAAGCAGAACCAACCACAACTGGTTTAACCTTTCCAAGAAATGCAGATACTGATTTATGGCCAAGCCAGCCAAAAGTTCTTAATGATTTTCAAGCATGTAATTTCAACCCTGTGTCCTTGAGCTACCTTGGGAAATTCTTGCTAATCTGCCAAAGATTTTTAAATATGTATGACAACACCAACCACATAGGCAGGAAAGGCATTCTAATTTAAAGTCAGACTAAGAACGGAAGCCTTTCAGTCTGGTCATGCAACTTACATATTTATATCTGGATATTTCATCCTGGAACCCTGCCCTTTCTTCCAAAGATTAAATCACACCTCCATCCAATCTGTTAAAACAGAACCCTGCTCAAAGCCAACTGGTGAACTTAATGAATGAGAATTGCCCCATATGTATGCTCAGGCAATACCACTTTTTTCTGAATCAGAGTTTCAGTATCATCATTCTGTATACAGGAAGCAAATAGATGTTTTCTTTAATTTTATTGTATTTTAAAATTCTAAATACATGAATGCTGCCCATTAGTCCCATTTCCTGATCAACTTACAATGACATTTAACAGACAATGCTTATTAGCAAGAGTACTGTAAGGACAGTCAGTATGAGTACTTGATAGGTAGTGGGGTTAGAAATATCAAAAGGAAACCCTTCCCTATATCATTCTTACCAAGAAGAGCCAGAAGAGCTAGAAATGTACGTAAGGCAGTCTAAGAGATTCAGTTTCTGAAGACCAAGTAAATGACCATGCAAAGCTGTAAATGCCCGGGCCCCACCTCCTGTTGCCATGACAGCCACCACAGGCACCTGTTCAACAAATAAAGCCCAATAAAATGAAAAAAAAACTTCATTTTATCAATGATAAAAAGGACAAATAAGAATGGCCAAGAAACTTCACCAATCAAAATTGGAGAAATACTCCCAGACTATTTTCTCTAAATAAATAATAATAACTGAAGCATTTGCTGCTATTCATAAAGATGCTAGTTTGTTACACTGAACTTTTAAAAGCTGCTTAACAAATATTTTTTTAAAAAAGTGATGATTTTAAAACAATCTCATCTTGCTGGTTTCTCTCACATCATTTTTATTCATGGTACCTGAAGTGTCCACTTAAGGTTTTCCTGCTGGGTTGGGGAATCAGAGAATAACTTTCATAGAAGAATGTAAAAATGTTACCCTAGAATGGGAACTTTGCATTCCACAGTGTGGTGCAAAAATCTCTCTGTATCTAACCTATATAAGTTATGAATGTATTCATTCATAACTCTTCATCCCATTTCCAAATCAGCCTGCATAACTCTCCCATCTATGCTTAGATTTGCCAAAGGTCTAGATAATTAATGGAAAACTAAGTCTTAATTTTTCCATCCTGAATTGCTTGCCGTGGTTATGCTTTACATACCTCATGATCTTGCAGATCGTTTTCCATGTGAAGAACCTTTTTCAGGGCAGCTGCTACAATTTTCTTCCGTTTCTGTACAAATACTTGTTCATCCAGACACAGTTCATACCCTAAACGTACATCAAGTTCTTTTGGCCTTACATGTAATCCATGATGAGAAGAAATAAAGTATCATTGTTATGATTTACTCAAGAATGCGCTATAATAATATCCATTACAATGGAAAAGAATCTCAAGCAAAATCATACTTCCAGCTTAACCCAGCCATAGGACTGCAACACATCAGATGATGGTGGAGGCAGCAGAGATTATTGCATCATGCAAAGAAATCATTGCAAGACCCGAAAGTCCAGGTTAGAGGCAGATCATTATGGAGAAAATCTATCTATGTGGTAGCTAAGAGTCAACTTGATGACACATAATCAGTAAATTAAGATGTTCTCTTACCACTCTTTTACCTTTACACATACGTCAATTGATTTGTCCTAGAAATAAAAAAAATTGTTAATAACTTGTTTTCAAATTAAATATCATTTCTTTGGAAGATATTTTTGAGATTACTGTCTGAAATCTTTGTGGAAAACATCAGCAATTTCTGTACCCACCTACATATTCCCTTCCTCCCTCCTTCACACATACACACACACACACCCCACATATTTTGACCATAAAACTCCAGAAAGCAGAAACCGATATTTATATAACATTTTCCAACACAGTGGGATACCCACGCAACTTCATTAAAAAATGTGTCTGAAGTTTTCTGGGCGAGGTTTTTCAGAAATGGTTTGTCATTGCCTCCTTTCTAGGACTGAGAGAGAGTGACTGGCCCAAGGTCACCTAACTTTGTGCCTAAGGTGGAATTAGAATTCACACTCTCCTGGTTTCTAGCCTGATTCCTTAACCAGTACACCAAACTGGCTCTCAAAAATACAATGTATGGACTGGAAAAACCACTCTGTAGGACAAAAAGGTAGAAGACTGGCAAAACATATCCATGAACATCAGTTGGCAGTCAGAAGACATGATGAAAGTTAATTAATTCCACATCACATTAACAAATTCAACCATAATTTTAACTGGGAAGTTCCAGACATTTTGGATGAGGCTAAGTCTAAGAATTCAAAAGAATTCCCAGAAGCTTGGCACTCTGGCAAATTAGCCACCGACAGACATATAGAAATGAACCTCATTTATGAACTATTCAAAAGGAACAACCAAAAGTCAAAGAAAGGGGCAAACAGTTCTGCACACATCTGCCTTTATCACACATCTACTAACTAGCACTCAAATAAGCAGGTACCAGCACCTAATCAACACCATAAGCCCTAGACAACAGTATGCCAATCAGAGATGAAACAATACCACCTATCAGTACAACCTGCCCAAACCCAGACAAGGGTGGCAGGATAAATTGATACACACACACACACATATTCCTATTGGTGGCTGGAAAGGGCTGGACTAAAAGACAGCAATGAGGCACTGATCATAGCAGCACAAGAACAGGCACTAAGCACTACATCCATAGAAGCAGGGGTCTACTATACTAGATAGACCCAAGGTGCAGGTTGTGCAAAGAGGCCTCAGAGACAGTCCAACGCATAGTGGGTGTAAGATGCAGGCAGGAACAGCATACACTGAACGGCACAACCAAGTAGCTGGCATTGTGTACAGGAACATCTG